ATTCCGTCTTATACAGACTCCTGTTAGAAATGAATCTAGAAAGAAATGAGAGGCAGTGGAAGAAACTGAATCCTCGCTTAGAAAATAGAGAAAGAAGAAAAGGAAAGAATATCTATGTACAAAAGTTGAGATTATATACATCGTTCGATAACTTTAATTAGATAAACACCTATTTGGAAAATTCGAAAGATTTTCTGTGAATCTCTTGTAGATCTCAAGAAATCAAAGTTCGCCCTGGATGGCCATAGCCCAGAACCATGATCTCAACTTTAAACAAATTTCAACCAATGACAATAAAATACCAGTAAGGTCATGATTCTCAGGATGACACATTGAAATATTTCGCAATAATAGATCTGAACAAAGAGCATGGTATCTTACCAAAAAATCTAAAATAAAACAACAACAAAGAATCCTACTAAAATTTGGAATACGAATCAAAAATATTTGCTGCATCATGATATATATCATTGTTTTAAATTATTTATAATAAAATTGTTAAAATTTCATTGATAATGTGTATTATATTTCTATAGAATATATTATTATAATATTATTATTTATTATATTTGACACCACTCTGTGACGACACATCACTTTGAACGTTGTCGCGAGGACCGGGAAGTTTTCACGGACGCGGAGTTTCAAGATCACCAACTACGAGGAAGACAACAAATGAATAAACACACCAAATTTTATAGGTAAATATTATAATTGTTGTTAATACAATCCCATCGGTATAATTATTAATAAAAGACAATTCGCTGAGGGAAAAAGTTTCTTTATGTAGCGTACCTCAGTAACGTAGTTATACCTGTCAAAGGGCTGTTAAGCCAGAAAGCTTGTATTGCCGTTATATATAAAAGAAAACTCTTCCCTCAGCAAATTGTCTTTTATATATAAATATCATATTAATTATACTTTTACATTCAATATATATGGAAACCCGCTCAGAAAACACATATATAACACCAGTATGGAGTAAAACAAGGTCGATTACACTAAAAAGGTGCAAATTGGCGCAACAATATATGAAGACGAAAATAGATTTTATATGTAAGAGGCAATACAATGAATTGGGAGCCAGTTTTCCCAAGTATCGAATCAACAACTTATGAATTACATTCTTCCATGTTAAAGACACATTGTCCAATACATTTCATTGAAAGGAGCAACAATAGGGATATTTAGTGGCGGTTGGTTATTGTATAGCTCTACCGGTCAACAATAACAACAACAACAAAAATCTTTATTAAGACCTTTTAGTCTTATGCAGATTCTCCAAGCAGAAATGTAGGATACATGTATGAAAAAAAATAATAGTACCTTAATGGTAATATGATATTTATATACAGGAAAAATTAAATAAAGAATATCAAGCTAATAGATTAGTCTGGGTAAATTGAAGGAAAGGAAATTTATTATACATGGATTTACCGCGGATTCACCGCAAATGAAGGTAAAGCGGATCTACAATAACAGGGAATGTATATAGACATTTCTCTGAAGAGTCTATGGAAAATTGGATGGTGATATTGAAGAGAAGCTTACATAAGTAGGCTCCCTTACTAACGGTCTGGTAGCCCGAGGGGAACAGGTTCCTTCCGTGATGATCAATCGAGCGACCCCGACATCCCGAGGACAGTGAGCCCCGGGGGCAGGTGCTGTTGCTCATTCACCAACCTTCACATTGTCTTCTACATCGATGGTACGACGGGCAAATGTGTTCATATACCCCCTCCTTGTATTATGATGCATAAGCGCTCCATCTGTTATGAAAATTCGAAACTATTATAGACGCGTATGATTCTTTTTAAGGTTACATTTGTTGATATCTTCTTTGGCAAGTTTTTAAGGTGTATTGGAAATTTTTGACATCTTGGAGCACATGTGATAGATATCTCACAGGATTCTTGTTTAACTTTATGCTAAGGAATCAATGAGGACAACCATTGACGATGTGATTTCATAGAAATACCACAATTTACATTTGGAACAAATTAACGGCGATACCATTAATTATTCTAAAAAGTGTTTAGAGTAGAAAAAATAAATAGTACGGTAGGACGATCTAAAAAGCATACGTCCCAAAAATATCGAATATAGTATTCGTAAAAATTTTACATATATGCGCGGTAGGTAAATGTAAGAATCACCACCACTACAATTATATATATTGAGGGAAGTCAGTCCAGCAGTTCTCAAGGTTATCTATCGTGTTGGGTTTGACGTCGATGGAAGGCGGTCGTCAATTTATCAACATGGGAGAAACTGGACCGATCTGCCATCGCCTCAAAGAACTGGGCCACGCACACCCCCGCCCGCCTTACACAACACGCTATCTACTGATACAATGATGATGGACGAATCTTCGGACCGTCCTCAAGGGACAAAAAAAGCCGTGTTTGGACAGCAGCTCTGCCATCGCCTCGTCCACCTACTTCTAACACACTAAACCACGTTCTATATACACAAAAGTGTGTTAGTATCGAAGACACGTACTTCCCTTAACTTCTTTTCCAGGGCCTTTGGTGACAATTATAGGGTCTTCCCCCATGAATTCCATTCTCGACTTTCCGCCATAATATCCTTCCTTTATCGCCGTGAAATATTCCGAGTGACGCACAAAATGTCAAAACATGCTCCTCGATCGTTTTTAGGGCAATGAATAAGTTGTCATTTTAACGTGATATCCTTGGCACGGACCTCCTGAATCATACGAGCGAAGCGATGTTTCGTCACTACTACACGTTCCCCAACTACCCGGGATGTCCTTCACAACCCTAAGTCTTCTTTATTTTCTTTACAAGGCACGTGGAGACTCCAAATTCATGTGGTGAATCTTCTAGAGAGATGTTGGGCTTGTAGGGTCTGGAATCTTTGGTATTTTGGAAAGTTGGGCAGTGAAGTGGAGATGGTTCGTGGTTTTGTCTTCACATTGACAATGAGAGCAAGTTGGGTCTTCTTTCGATACCTTTGCAAAATCGACTTGGATGTAACCATGGCCATTCATAATTCTTGTTGAGGTGGATCCACGTTTGGAATCTACTCGGTATAAAGCGGTGATAGACTGAGCAACATCTGGATTAAAAGTTGGCCTGTATTTCTCAGATTTTTCTAGGCCCATCTTGTCAGACTGGTAATCGAAACTAACGGGATGATATATCAAAACTATCTTATAGAAAATGACCTAGCTATTTCTTCTCAACCCAAAGGTCTAGCAGTATTATTATCTTCCCTTAACTTCTTTTCCAGGGCCAGACCTTTGGTGACAATTATAGAGTCTTCTCCAATGAATTTCATTCTCGACTTTCCGCCATAATATCCTTCCTTTATCGCCGTGAAATATTCCGAGTGCCGGACAAAATGTCCGGACATGTTCCTCGATCGTTTCCAGAAAGCTATATTCCTTCTCGGTCGTTTTTAGGTTGACAATAAGTTGTCATTTTGACGTGATATTCTTGACACAGACCTCCTGAATCATACGAGCGAAGCGATGTTTCATCACTATTGGCTGAGAGGATTCGCACACAGTGATTTGCTGTCAATTGCGATGTTATTTGTTGCACAGTACACCCTGTCAAGTGTTGCCCCCACATCCTTTATGGACAACTCTCCAAACAACAACGTCCCATCATTGCTAAATCGAATAACCATCCAAATATCTTATCTACTAAACCTCCTCCCACATGAGGTAAGGGTGAAATAAGTTGGCCTGGAAATGTGGGGAGGGGTGGGCAGGGAAAGTCTGCCACCCCACCCCAGGGGGGCAGCACTAAGGAGGAAAGCCATCGTTGGCCTCTTTTTTCTGGTGCAGGAAAAACTGCGTGTCGAGCTTCCTGCAACCGTTGAGTGGGCGGACAGCCTCTTCTTGATTATTTACCTCACACACAACTTGGGGTTAGAAAGACAAAAAATAGAGTGTGTGTATAATGGTAAAGTCTTGTCTTAGTGTGTCCTGCAGATAGCGCGGATTTTTTTAAATTCTTTCTGTAAATATCGCGGTTTTTGAACAAAAAAAAAAGTGCGTAAAATGGTAATCTTGTCTTAGTGGTGTCTTGCAGACAGTGCGTGTCTACGTGT